CAATGCTACAGTGTGGTATAGTTCGGTTTTCACAAGTGGAATAATACACGCAAACAATGCTACAGTGTGGTATAGTTCGGTTTTCACAAGTGGAATAATACACGCAAACAATGCTACAGTGTGGTATAGTTCGGTTTTCACAAGTGGAATAATACACGCAAACAATGCTACAGTGTGGTATAGTTCGGTTTTCACAAGTGGAGTAATACACGTAAACAATGCCACCGTGTGATATAGTTCGGTCTTCACAAGTGGAGTAATACACGTAAACAATGCTACAGTGTGGTATAGTTCGGTTTTCACAAGTGGAGTAATACACGTAAACAATGTCACCGTGTGATATAGTTCGGTTTTCACAGGTGGAGTAATACATGTAAACAATGCTACAGTGTGGTATAGTTCGGTTTTCACAGGTGGAGTAATACACGTAAACAATGCTACAGTGTGGTATAGTTCGGTTTTTACAGGTGGAGTAATACGCATATATTCTTGGCCTTGTAACACTCGAAGCTTTCTTCCTGAGAAGCAATATTCAGAAATTTAAAAGTTTATAATCCTTATATCTCATGTCAATGATTAAAGTTGGTATATCAGTGCGATGATTTGTATCAGCTGTGTTCCCAAGACATATCATCCCAGAAATAACTGTCCTATAAGATACCGAAGCCATGTGGTTACAATCAACAAACCAAGTTAAGCGACAGTCAAAAACTCTACACATAAAACAAGAGGGAATCCTCTATAGCTGCGGCTGTAATTGGATCTCAAATCGGTCAAGAGATGGAGCTACGAGCTAAAAGTTTGTATTTGAAAAAAAAATAATAATAATACTCAGAGCCATTCTGAAAATCGCTATGCCGCGACCAAACATGGCATTTAAACGCTACCACCTTCGTCTGAGCAATTCACTGAAAAAAGATTTAGTTACCAAGTCTAGAGCTGAGAGAAGAATTAACAAAATAGCATGACTCTGTTTTGTTTTAAAAATTTGCTTTGACCATTCGTTCTTAAAAAAAAAAAAGAAAGCAAAAAAGTTGCCCAATTCCAGAACACAAGTTTCAAATATTTTTCAATAGACCATGTACGAGATAAGCAATTAAGTGTACCTATTTTCGACATATAGAAAACATAGCTTTTGTCAAATTTAATTATATCATACTAAATATACAGATAAGTATCATTACTCCACGTGCATAGTATCATTCGTGTATTGAAGTGATGTCTTAGCCACGACAACTTTCTTAAATACAGGTATATTCAAGATACAGTGGTTATGGTTAAAATCACTAGTTATGAATGATTCATCTACCTGGCTGTCAGGTCCAAACAATAGATTTTATATAAAGTTGTTGTGTTCACGAGAGCTGTCTTTACATGTATATTAGATATATGTAAAGACTATTAAGTCAAAATATTTTTTTTATTTCTATGTATCTCCAATCTGTCATTAACAAAGTATACCAGTACTCAAGGCTCTTACATTTTTGGAGATATACGAATACTATGATAAGTACTTAAATATCTATTCGGAGATTTTTTTATAGCCAATATCAGTTAAACGTGTCTGTTCCAGACTTTTGAGAAGTTTGCTAATTATGTTTGTGATGCTTACTGACTGTTGTGCGATATATCAAAACTTCTTCGTAAAGGTATTTATTTATCATTTCTCACGTATTACGGGGTTTTAAATGCTCCGTGTTGTACGGTTTCGGTTCAGATTCTCGAGTGTAACTACCAATTTTCTGTGTGCCCAGAGTGTCTACCTTGGGTCAGTTACTCTTACCCCTCTCTATGGGCCACGAAACCCAAGGTGTTCACGGAGGGTCTCCAGTAGTTACAAAATATATAAAATTTTATTTAATAATAAATTGAAACCCATTCCAAATCTAACGTGGAACCATCATATTATTACGGCGGTCGATAATTATCAGGTGATTACTAAAACCGACAGTCACTTGAAAATAACTCGTTTTTGTGCTTTTGATGCTGCTCGACGAATGGAACAGCTGTACTCATCCGAAAACCCGCCGACAGTTATGTTCAGTTTTAGAAAATTTAACACTTTATTATATAGCATTTAATATAATATTCAATATAGTTTAATGTTTGGGTAGCCCAAGCTTATATTTCCACAGCATGTAATATCTAACGTATTATTACTCTGGATCTTTCCAACCAGGTTAGAACAGAGATAAATAGATGCATAATCTAACCATGAGAAAGAACCGTTTCCTAAAACAGTCATCTCACGGACAGACGAAACTCATTACCCATAATCCGAGACATGTTTCAAGCAAGATTGCAGACAGAGAGGATATCGCTTTGCTTGGCCTAGAATATCGCTTTGCTTGGCCTAAATCCGTGAACAAAGGGCTTAACCAAGCGGTTCCGTAATGATTGATCAACCCGACATGGATCAAACTTATTAATGAAATGAACGAACCAGGACGGCACGAGCAAGGACTCTACAGGCGACACAAATTGCTACCGATGGTTCAGCGGTAGGTTTGCGGACTTACAACACTAAAATACAGGGTTTGTTTCCTCGCTATGGATAGAAAACAGATAGCCCATGTGTCGTTTTACGCTAAAAAGCAAAACCAAAAACAAACAAAAATAACTGCAAAGCAGCGTTGAATCTTCAAAAACTATCTTTTCACAATTAAAAACAAAATTCTTCATAAAAAGACAAAAAAAACAATGGTAAATTTGCAAAGATTATCACCTCAAGGTTAAAATTTAGACAAAAGTCTGCACGTACTCCATTCGCTTTTCTACAAAAGTGAAAAATTCCTAGTCATGCTTGTCTACTCAATGCTGCGTGTTTAAACGACACTTTAACAAAGAAAGCAAGACTTTGTAAAATGTTCCCGAGAAAAGTACTTACTGTTTAGTGTTTCACCACTTGACTTCAAGAAAATTCCACTCAAAACGAGATGCCTTGATAAAATTGTAAGTAGTTGCCTTCCAAAAAATTATCGCGCAATAACAAAAATGGTTATATATATATATATCTTTATCTGCCGGAAACCAGTGAGCAACATGAAAGTGAAAGAAGATACCTGTGTACGATACAAATGTCTGAACCCTGGTTAAAATAAATCACGGAAAATGTGTTAAAGCGAGCGTTCAACGTCAACCCTTCAAAAATGGCCGACTTGTTTTGTTTGTTTTTTGTTTTTTTTTCTCACTTAAACTTTGAGTCTTTGAAGTATTTGTTTTTCTTCATTCAGTTAACATGAATAAAAATGTACACATGCGTCTTATTGGTTGAACTATCACATGAACATGAAAATTCGAGGAGCATCGTACTGATTATAAGATTTTAAGAATATTATTCGTGGACACAGCCTGTGTCTGTTCTCAGTAAAAGGAACCCTTTTCGAAACATTATTCCTGCAGTGGTTGTCAAATTGTAAAATATTCACAAGAATATAAAAACACCCCTCCAAGATCCCCAAAAATATCCTTAATATCTTAATCATATAAGATATCTTTCTTCAGAATTCTTTGACACACTTTCACGACTGTTATTCGTCCGACAAACTATAAAGAATTTATACAATCCTTCATAAAAACACACACAAGTGCTTATAAGTACAATAATGTATAAGGATTTAATGTTTATGTATAAAATGAAAGGAAACTACATACTTATCACAAGTGATTGCTAAAACTATAATTTTAATAAACTTTTCACGATTTCTGAAGGTCTTGTAACATTCTTTGCTGCCGATTTTAAGTTGTACATGTTATCAAAAATCCTTTACGTTTCTTACAAATTATTAACACTATTATTTTCATAAAAGTCCTACAAAACTAATTGTAAAACATTTCCACAGCTGTTTGTAAATGTGAACACTCTTTCTAAATATTAACGAATCTAAATAATATTCATGAAATTATAAAAAACACTTACTAATTCCGTAGACTTTTCTATTAAATAACATTCCTTGGGAAGGAACAAACAAATAACCATTGTCTGACTAAGTCGTGCTCTTTTTTACGTACCTGATTATTATTTTCTGAAATTGTTACAAATCTTAGATAACTTAATCGACTTCTAAAAGTCCTGAATTCCAGATTAATAAAGTACAACCGGTTATCAAACCAATGTCGTAAACCTGAAATCTGTTTGTCCCAGATGCGCACGGAGAAAGAACAAATGTTGAGGCTTACTCTAGACGTGTATACTCGGCTTGTCAACTTCTGAATCAAGAGCGGACGGGTCTTAGGCTCCTGCCTTAAAAGCCTAGAGCGCAGAGTCCACTTGGAAACAGCGAACTTGAAAAAAGTGACATGTGACAACAAGGGGCGGCCCGCTGTGCTGAAATCATACTTTGTTGTTTATTTGCGAGTTAT